GTTGGGGAAATGATTATTAATCTCCGCATTTAGCTAACATATTTTTGTTTGCACAAAACAAGCTTATTTTTTAAAAGTAAACATTTGACAGAAGTCTGTCTGGTTGGGGAAATGATTATTAATCTCCGCATTTAGCTAACATATTTTTGTTTGCACAAAACAAGCTTATTTTTTAAAAGTAAACATTTGACTGAAGTCTGTCTGGTTGGGGAAATGATTATTAATCTCCGCATTTAGCTAACCTATTTTTGTTTGCACAAAACAAGCTTATTTTTTAAAAGTAAACATTTGACAGAAGTCTGTCTGGTTGGGGAAATGATTATTAATCTCCGCATTTAGCTAACATATTTTTGTTTGCACAAAACAAGCTTATTTTTTAAAAGTAAACATTTGACAGAAGTCTGTCTGGTTGGGGAAATGATTATTAATCTCCGCATTTAGCTAACATTTTTTTGTTTGCACAAAACAAGCTTATTTTTTAAAAGTAAACATTTGACAGAAGTCTGTCTGGTTGGGGAAATGATTATTAATCTCCGCATTTAGCTAACATATTTTTGTTTGCACAAAACAAGCTTATTTTTTAAAAGTAAACATTTGACAGAAGTCTGTCTGGTTGGGGAAATGATTATTAATCTCCGCATTTAGCTAACATATTTTTGTTTGCACAAAACAAGCTTATTTTTTAAAAGTAAACATTTGACAGAAGTCTGTCTGGTTGGGGAAATGATTATTAATCTCCGCATTTAGCTAACATATTTTTGTTTGCACAAAACAAGCTTATTTTTTAAAAGTAAACATTTGACAGAAGTCTGTCTGGTTGGGGAAATGATTATTAATCTCCGCATTTGGCTAACATATTTTTGTTTGCACAAAACAAGCTTATTTTTTAAAAGTAAACATTTGACAGAAGTCTGTCTGGTTGGGGAAATGATTATGAATCTCCGCATTTAGCTAACATATTTTTGTTTGCACAAAACAAGCTTATTTTTTAAAAGTAAACATTTGACAGAAGTCTGTCTGGTTGGGGAAATGATTATTAATCTCCGAATTTAGCTAACATATTTTTGTTTGCACAAAACAAGCTTATTTCTTAAAAGTAAACATTTGACAGAAGTCTGTCTGGTTGGGGAAATGATTATTAATCTCCGCATTTAGCTAACATATTTTTGTTTGCACAAAACAAGCTTATTTTTTAAAAGTAAACATTTGACAGAAGTCTGTCTGGTTGGGGAAATGATTATTAATCTCCGCATTTAGCTAACATATTTTTGTTTGCACAAAACAAGCTTATTTTTTAAAAGTAAACATTTGACAGAAGTCTGTCTGGTTGGGGAAATGATTATTAATCTCCGCATTTAGCTAACATATTTTTGTTTGCACAAAACAAGCTTATTTTTTAAAAGTAAACATTTGACAGAAGTCTGTCTGGTTGGGGAAATGATTATTAATCTCCGCATTTAGCTAACATATTTTTGTTTGCACAAAACAAGCTTATTTTTTAAAAGTAAACATTTGACAGAAGTCTGTCTGGTTGGGGAAATGATTATTAATCTCCGCGTTTAGCTAACATATTTTTGTTTGCACAAAACAAGCTTATTTTTTAAAAGTAAACATTGGACAGAAGTCTGTCTGGTTGGGGAAATGATTATTAATCTCCGCGTTTAGCTAACATATTTTTGTTTGCACAAAACAAGCTTATTTTTTAAAAGTAAACATTTGACAGAAGTCTGTCTGGTTGGGGAAATGATTATTAATCTCCGCATTTAGCTAACATATTTTTGTTTGCACAAAACAAGCTTATTTTTTAAAAGTAAACATTTGACAGAAGTCTGTCTGGTTGGGGAAATGATTATTAATCTCCGCATTTAGCTAACATATTTTTGTTTGCACAAAACAAGCTTATTTTTTAAAAGTAAACATTTGACAGAAGTCTATCTGGTTGGGGAAATGATTATTAATCTCCGCATTTAGCTAAGATATTTTTGTTTGCACAAAACAAGCTTATTTTTTAAAAGTAAACATTTGACAGAAGTCTGTCTGGTTGGGGAAATGATTATTAATCTACGCGTTTAGCTAACATATTTTTGTTTGCACAAAACAAGCTTATTTTCTAAAAGTAAACATTTGACAGAAGTCTGTCTGGTTGGGGAAATGATTATTAATCTCCGCGTTTAGCTAACATATTTTTGTTTGCACAAAACAAGCTTATTTTTTAAAAGTAAACATTTGACAGAAGTCTGTCTGGTTGGGGAAATGATTATTAATCTCCGCGTTTAGCTAACATATTTTTGTTTGCACAAAACAAGCTTATTTTTTAAAAGTAAACATTTGACAGAAGTCTGTCTGGTTGGGGAAATGATTATTAATCTCCGCATTTAGCTAACATATTTTTGTTTGCACAAAACAAGCTTATTTTTTAAAAGTAAACATTTGACAGAAGTCTGTCTGGTTGGGGAAATGATTATTAATCTCCGCATTTAGCTAACATATTTTTGTTTGCACAAAACAAGCTTATTTTTTAAAAGTAAACATTTGACAGAAGTCTCTCTGGTTGGGGAAATGATTATTAATCTCCGCGTTTAGCTAACATATTTTTGTTTGCACAAAACAAGCTTATTTTTTAAAAGTAAACATTTGACAGAAGTCTGTCTGGTTGGGGAAATGATTATTAATCTCCGCGTTTAGCTAACATATTTTTGTTTGCACAAAACAAGCTTATTATTTAAAAGTAAACATTTGACAGAAGTCTGTCTGGTTGGGGAAATGATTATTAATCTCCGCATTTAGCTAACATATTTTTGTTTGCACAAAACAAGCTTATTTTTTAAAAGTAAACATTTGACAGAAGTCTGTCTGGTTGGGGAAATGATTATTAATCTCCGCATTTAGCTAACATTATTTTGTTTGCACAAAACAAGCTTATTTTTTAAAAGTAAACATTTGACAGAAGTCTGTCTGGTTGGGGAAATGATTATTAATCTCCGCGTTTAGCTAACATATTTTTGTTTGCACAAAACAAGCTTATTTTTTAAAAGTAAACATTTGACAGAAGTCTGTCTGGTTGGGGAAATGATTATTAATCTCCGCATTTAGCTAACATATTTTTGTTTGCACAAAACAAGCTTATTTTTTAAAAGTAAACATTTGACAGAAGTCTGTCTGGTTGGGGAAATGATTATTAATCTCCGCATTTAGCTAACATATTTTTGTTTGCACAAAACAAGGTTATTTTTTAAAAGTAAACATTTGACAGAAGTCTGTCTGGTTGGGGAAATGATTATTAATCTCCGCATTTAGCTAACATATTTTTGTTTGCACAAAACAAGCTTATTTTTTAAAAGTAAACATTTGACAGAAGTCTGTCTGGTTGGGGAAATGATTATTAATCTCCGCATTTAGCTAGCATATTTTTGTTTGCACAAAACAAGCTTATTTTTTAAAAGTAAACATTTGACAGAAGTCTGTCTGGTTGGGGAAATGATTATTAATCTCCGCGTTTAGCTAACATATTTTTGTTTGCACAAAACAAGCTTATTTTTTAAAAGTAAACATTTGACAGAAGTCTGTCTGGTTGGGGAAATGATTATTAATCTCCGCGTTTAGCTAACATATTTTTGTTTGCACAAAACAAGCCTATTTTTTAAAAGTAAACATTTGACAGAAGTCTGTCTGGTTGGGGAAATGATTATTAATCTCCGCATTGAGCTAACATATTTTTGTTTGCACAAAACAAGCTTATTTTTTAAAAGTAAACATTTGACAGAAGTCTGTCTGGTTGGGGAAATGATTATTAATCTCCGCATTTAGCTAACATATTTTTGTTTGCACAAAACAAGCTTATTTTTTTAAAAGTAAACATTTGACAGAAGTCTGTCTGGTTGGGGAAATGATTATTAATCTCCGCATTTAGCTAACATATTTTTGTTTGCACAAAACAAGCTTATTTTTTAAAAGTAAACATTTGACAGAAGTCTGTCTGGTTGGGGAAATGATTATTAATCTCCGCATTTAGCTAACATATTTTTGTTTGCACAAAACAAGCTTATTTTTTAAAAGTAAACATTTGACAGAAGTCTGTCTGGTTGGGGAAATGATTTAGGGATTGGTTGGTCGTCGTATTTTAAAAATGACCACCGCATTGACTTTCTAAACACACGTATCCTGGACATTGAAACTAATCCTCGCCGGAGGCTCTTCCTTGAATCTTGGCACATTCAGACCACGCCAACAAACATTAATAGGTCTCTTGGTGCACTGCCATCTGTGTATGTGAACGGACTCCACCAGTTGTGTTCAAAAAACGATCAAAGAGGAAGAAGATGGGATCATGCACATTCGCCCCCGTCATACAGGAAAAGGAAGATTGCGGCTCCTTTCCTCCATAGTCGCCCCTGAAGAAGAAGCCGAACCGGCTTCGAAACGTTGGGCCCCTGATTTAGGGATTGGTTGGTCGTCGTATTTTAATAAGCTTATTTTTGCCCAAAGCGGGTGCGAGCACTAGTGCGCGTGCGCAGAAACAAACTTCTGCTCACCTGCAACGCCGGCAGCGACGCCATCGTAGGGGCCTGGCGTCAGAGTGTTGAGACGCTAGTGGTACGATGACTGGAACGCGTGTCCTACTGGTGTGTTCTGTAGCGTCTTATTCCGACCATGCATCCAAAGTGCGTCCCGAAGTGGCAATGAGTGACGTCACAAAAGCCGGAGTGTGACGCTGTCGAGTGTCCCGATCCTTCTGGCTGGTCGTACAAGTTCGGGAAAGAAAAAAGAACACGAGCAAAACGCCAGCGTCGCAATCGTCGCGGCGTCCCAACTCCCGGCTGACCCAAACGGAATGTCGAGGAGCGACCTGCAGCCAACCAGGCGTCTGCGACGCTATAGCGCTGCTTGTGTTAGGTCACCAGGCGGAAATCGAGGGAGCCGTTTTTGGGACGCGGTAGACACACCGGTGGGGAGACGCGCGTTCCAGGCAGCAGTTGAGCGTGACGACGCCTTTCAGGTAGGCCTGAAGATCTTGGGCGTCGGCGAAGTGGGCAAGAGTTCCCGCTTGATGAAGCTGGTGCGGAAGAAGACGTGCACATCCAGATACACCAAGGCCATCTGCTCCAACCTCATGTTCCTCCTGTTCGGTCCCGACACCAAGTTTATGAACAAGGTGAGCTCCAATCTGCACGCGGTAAGAGAAGAGCAAAGCCACACTGATCATACATCAGACAAAAAATGCGGCAGACACGTCTTTAATGTATGTTACAAACATGTCGAACATGTCTGCACACTGCGTTTCGTAGCATGTATGAGCAGCTTGACCACAAAAGTTGAAGAACACTGAGTGAAATCTTTCTAGCGTACAGTTTATACTCTTTCGTTTGTTTTAAAACATATCTTGCATACCTATTAAGACTGACGTAAATCATGCTTCTTAACTTTTCTTTTACACTCGCGGGTGCAGTTGAAAATAGTGGTGCCGGCAGTACTAGAAAATCTCGTATATATCTGTACTTAAACACTTTTTAACGTGTATTTCAGTATCAGTATCTTAGCAGTGTTTTGAAGGCATCGCAAGGATTTGTATTTTCTGCCCAAGCGACCGACTCTCACCGACTCCGAAACAACCGGATTTTAATTACGACCGGAATCACTGCTGCTGAAACTACTTGCGTCGGAGTCGGTCACTAAAGTGGGAACAAGCTTCCTTTAATAGAAAGTTTTAAAATCGGGGGCCCGAGCGCTTTGGGTCCACCGAGAAGCTTGGGGCGTCGCACTGCCCATGCGCAAAACTTGCGTGCATGCGCAGTGAAAAGATCTCAAGTTGCTTGAGGGATCCGAAACGTCGGAGCCGCTTATTCTAGAACTTTCTATTAAGTGGCCTGATCGTCCTCACATAGGCAGGATGTTTGGTGTACTGTTTTGATTGGAACCCATCGGTTTTCGCTTCGACGTGGCGACAGACGCGGCTCAACGTGTACCTGACCCACGATCCCGCCGGAACGTCGGTGAAAAACCTCGTCCACTTCGGCCAAGTGAGTAGATACGCGTTTTCAATTTATCTATGGCCGCCGCGACGAGGATCCAACTATACTTTGCTTGGGAGAAGAGCGTGTTGGTTTAAGTCATGGATGAAGAAAGAATACAAGAATTAAAACAGGGACAACACAACCACATCTTTCAAAGATGTGGTTCTGTTGTCCCTGTTTTAATTGTTTTATTCTTTCTTTATCCATAACTATACTTTATGCCACTAAAATCAGTCAGTTAATCACGACTCTGCGCTTAATTAAGGAATTAGCTAACTATTCGTGCATTTTCACTTCTTGTTTCACGTCTCTCGTGGCCCGTAACCCAGCCCCAGGATAGAACGAGAGAAAAAAAAAGAGACATAAATCCGCACTTGGACTGTTCACACACACTGCAAAAGACACGGTGTTGGCTGCGCCTTAAACACGTTTGAAGTCTGCCTGCTCTATAGCCATGCTTATGTCTGCGGACAGCTTTTGAACGACCATCGTGGCGAAAAGACCTTCGTATGATGTGAAGACCATCCGAGACTGGAATAGATTACCCCCGAGTGTCTTTATGCATGTCGAAGCAATGGAAGAAAAATTGACGCATGGGTTTTCTGGCGAGAATAGCAGTTGCGTTTCCTTTTTTTTCTGCATGTACAGTAGCAGTAGATGTAGACTGCCAACCCTCCGGCAATAACCCGCGAGGGTTGGCCACTATTTGAAATAAAATAAATAAAATAAAATAAATAATTAAGGAAGCACGCCTCAAACGAAACCTGCAGACTGTTTTTTTTTTTTTTTTTTTGCATGATGTATGACTACTGCGAACGTGGCTTAATTCCTTCGTGTTTTTTTTTTTGTTTTTTTTTTAATTCTGGTTTCACTAAAAACAAGAATCCTTCGTATAGACAGACGAGCGCTTTTTGTTTAATATATGTTACCTTCTGTAACATTCAACATAAAAAAATTACCTTCAAGAGTTAACTTTGTGACCTGTTCTTCGCTTTGCGTTGAATTGCCACCAATTTGGAATGCGTAATCTCTAAGAATCAACGGCCATTGAGGCTTCAAGATGATCATCCTTATCTATTTTAATCCGCGGCATTATAACGCATCGTTCCACACTACCAAAAAACAGACATTCCTCCTTTTTCTTTTTTTCTTCAGATGATCAATTCAAAGAAGTTTCGCAAGTTTGACTACGGGCCGACGAAAAACCTGAAACTGTACGGTCAGGTGAGACCATAAGACGCTCTACGATCTAACCATGTTGACTCTTGTCGGTGTGAAGAACCTCGTAGATGACAAGGCCTAGTTGATCGACGTCACACGCTGGAGGCCATCGCGAGACGCGGATTGGTCGCGAGTGCACGCGTCAGCCTTGGGCTGGGTTCCAAGGTTCACTCTCAGTGAGGACAGCGTTAGCGACGACCAAAAGCGTCGCTGCGGTCAGCTTGGCACGATCGGACAGACCGCGGGCATGAGAGCATCGTCAGACTGTCAGCTTCGACGGGGTTACTTTCGGAATGCGATGCTTTTTAAGCGCCCCATGGAAGTTGTTGTCGAAACTGACGGTAAGTATAGCTACAGGTAACAACTCGTGACGTCACGGATGGGAACCCTAAGAGGGAGCCAGCGGAACATCTCGGCACGTTACGAGCTGGTAATGCGCGTCCAAAGCATCCCGAACGTCGTGTTTCTCTACGCGCTTTTTATCATTGCTTACCAAACCATGAGCAGAAGAAGCAGACTGACTTTTTGCGCTGCTTCATTTTGTAGCGACGGTTGCCTCTCGACTTGCCATGAGCCCAACGCATCATGTCCAGTCTGTCGGTGATGATGTCACCTCTCCCTCAAAATTCTTTTTTTTTAATGCTCTTTAGCAAAATACCCCCCCCCCCCCCCCGAAAAAAAAAAATACCCCCCCCCCCCAATCCCACCCAAAACAAATATCCTAAAATTTCCTTTGTCCGTCCATTCGTGCGTTCTTCGCTAAACTTAGCGAAAGAAGTCACGTGAGTGGGACTTTCCGTTTTCCCGCTTAATGCAGCGCGAAAATTGCCGTGACGAGAACTACGCACTAATTTAGTTGTTCTGCTAAGTTTGGTGAGGAAATTGATGTCACGTGACCCGTGGTCAGTTTCTCCGCTAAATTTACCGGAAAACATTGATGTGACGCGACCGTTACGTCACGTGACCCTTGTCAGTTTCGCTCTTAAATTTGGCGGGGAAATTCACGAAAAATTCTTAGATCTTTACTCCCCCGAAACGAATGTTGAATGTTTCCTAAACGAGCTTGAACGCTGGCTCGGCAAATGCTGCGGTTCGTGCATTCTTTTGGGGATAAAGATCGCTGGCAATTTCCGTTTCTACGTAGCCTCTCTTATAAGTACCCGGGATATAAACTTTTCTTCAAATTCCAAGTTTCTTTTTGTTTTGTGTTCTTTTTTTTTTTTTTTTTTTTTTTTTTGGGGGGGGGGGGGGGGAGGAGGGTGTCTTTTCCCACCACAACTTCGGTGTTCTAGTTGCGAATTTTGTAACCCTTTAACCATTTTTAGTCATGAGGGAGTTCTCACCCACAACTGCTTCCTTGTTGTCTTAAAAATGACATTTGTTGCCTTCAAGTAAAGTTTTTTATCCTCAAACAAAAAGGTAGGAAAAGTTTAAAATATTCGTTGCTACAATTTGTTTGCAGAGCCGCAAACTAAGCAACGAGGGAGTCTGGTTCGTCCAAAACGGTTGTGTTCGTGAACCAGGGAACGCAGACGAGCTAGACTCGTCCTGAACGGTTTAGGGGCGGCTCAAGTTGCTGACCTCTGCTTGATAAAAACAATTAGAAAAAATGTCAAAAAAAAAAAAAGAGATCGGCGGATATTGGGATTTATGTTGCAGAAAGCGGGACACTTTTCAAAAGTCCATCAAGCAACGTTGGTGGTCGCAATTGCAGGAATAAAAAAATCAGCACTCTTTATTAGCGGGTAAAGGAAATAATGGCACCCAAGTCCCAAAAAACACTGTTTCGAGATAATTGAGTTCATGGGGGACATGTCCGTCTTGTCACTCAATGGGAAAATTTCGCTACACGAGCCTGCGTTTCAGGAATGCGGCAGAGTACTGATTATTTTGGAGGTTCATTATGAAGATGTAATAAAGGTCGTACGACTCTCAAATTTTCACCCGAGTGCGCCCTGGAGGTTTTTAATAAAATACAGAAATAAGATCATTTTGACTGTTTTGAGCGCATTTTGAGGCAATTTTGAAATCGAAATCACTTAAATAACAAAAGTGACAAAACGAATGGTAGTAAGTACTATAGGTGTCCCTTATCTTAATTTTAAGACCCTTACAGGAATCCTAAATGTCTTGGTATTTGCGTATTTGTGCAAATAAATTTGACGGCCGCTTTCGCTAGATATACGTTCAATGGGTTCAAAGGGATGGCGACACCAGTGCGAAATGCCCCAAGCCAGAGATTTTGTTGTTGTTATTGTTGCTGTTCTCACGAGCTTGTACGTACGGCGACTCACGTACTTGTAGGCGCCGCCATTGTGGTGCTTGTGCAAAGCAGACGCAACTGTTGATCGTCATGATTCAAAAATGCTACTTTCTCGGCATTAGATTCGGTGCTAGGAAGCTCATGTAATATTGCTTTGCTCTGTCGCGAACTGTTTAAACATTTGTGGAGGACGGAAAAGCGTTTCCAGTGATTCCAGATAAAGCTTCAGATAACTGGAAATCATGATTTTAAGCCACAATATGGTCAACTGTCGTTACTCTGAAGCGTAGCAATTATTTAGTGGCACTAACACCGCCGAGATAAGTTTTGCCGTTTTCCCAGATGGTCTGTATGAGATTTCTGTCTGCTGCACCACACACAAAGAAAAATAGAACCACTGAGAGGCGGGCTGTGTGTGACGTAGTGATGCCATGGCAACGTGCCGTGTCTCGCCGCCGCGCGACGAGCTTTCACTTTCAATTCTGTAGTGACCGCGGCCGATACCACGACCCATGCGGCCAATCTAGCGGTAAGAACGTGACACGTAACCTCGCGCTCCGTGTGTCCCTAGCTCACAATGCATCGAGGGAGCTTCAGTCTTTCTGCTCGTGCGACAACCTCACTGGAGCTCTGTGCGTGTGGAGCATGAGGCGGCACGAGCCGTCTTGTGCACTGCTGCCTGCCTCCTGCGAACTAAAGTTATGACTGCTTTAGGCATGCGCCCAACGCTTGGTGAGATCGGTCTATTATGGCGGGGTCGAGGATGGGTGGAACGCTCGGTGAGGTCGGTCTATCGAACACTATAGTAAAGCCCGGTAGGGATAGGGTGATGTTGGGCGATTAACACTGGTGAATTAAGCCAGGGTTGGCCAGCGTAGCACTAAAATGAGCGACTATGGAGCGGCCGCTGAAAGGAAACTGCGTTGCGGCTCTCGCTCGTGGTCTCGCGTGAATTTCAGCCAGGGGCTTCAGCTCACAGCGCTGGTTCGGATTCCCTGGCATCTATCGGCCGCTTCACATCTCGATCCTTTTCTGGCCCCATCACATGTTTCCAAATAAACATGCGTGGTGGCGTATCTGAACGTGAGAGCTCGTGCCATGTTACGCTATTTACCTATCTCTCCAGAAATGTCATGTTTTTCACATTCAGTTCGTGCGTGAGCTAAGGCAGGCTTTGATGAGGACCCCGTGAAACCGTGAATATGGTCATCCAACTCAGCCCTCTGATTCTACGGTGCCGCGAAGCTCAAAAGGCAAAAAGACGCAAGTATGGCCGAGTGAGAGCTACACATGCCTTGCACATAATGTCCTCGCACCATGCCGGCGTGTATTATACTTCCTCTTGTACAAAAAAAAGTGATGGTACACAGTATACTAAGCTGCAAGAGAGGCCAATGCCACCACGATGTCAGCTGGTGGGACGTCAGTGCAGGCCATGAAACCACTGCACTCATGCCTTCGGGTTCGCTTGCACTTATGGCCAAATACAGCCTTAAGAACATAGACGCTTTGCACACGCGCCAGATTACAGCCGCCATTGCTGACTTTCTCTTGTCTTATCGAGATACCAAGCCACTGAAGCGGGCGTTGACAAGCCTCTTCACAAAGGTCAATGCCGCGAAGAAGGACACAGTAGAATCTAAAATGGCAAATACCTGGCCCTCTATGGTAATAATGAAGTGAAGCAATAGGAATAAGAGGAAACTAAAACGGAAGGTATATCTTATGGCGGCGACCATGCGTGCACAGTTGGCGAGAGATTCAAAAGTCCCTGTAATCAAAAAACACATAATAAAAGAGATCACTGAATAGCCAATATGTATCTTGCGGGAGCTATAAGCCATCAGAGTCAATCCAGCGCTGAGGGGATGTGACTCTCCTTGTTTGCATTGCGATTCCTGGAGCTCCAGGTCACGTGGTGCTGAACTGGTTGTTATAGTCATCTGGAATAGCTCGCGGCGGAGGGTCACGGTCATATACTCCTGAAAGTGAAAGGCAGGCGCGCGGCAGGGCTAACAAGGCATTGGACGTTTCCATATCATCACTACGTCCTACATGCATCGTCTCAAGACCATTCTTTAGACGTCCGTGCAACATGGTAGTTCTTCAGCAAAGCCGTTGAGCAAAGCCGATATCGGCTGCATTTTGTGTCAAGGAAACGACACGTGCCGCAGGCCGTTAGGCCTGGCAGTTCAACGACAGAGCCATACAGAGCCCGGTCGTACATTTGGAGCGCGAGGACCTGGCAGCATTGAGCATCAAAGAGCCATTTTTCAGGGAACCTGGACGTCAGCGTCTGGGAGCTTATCCCAAAAGGGGGCGTGGTGACTCGCCACTTGCTTTCGAAAAAAGTGTTTTTCAACCCGAAATATAACTTTCTAAGAAAAATGCTTAAGGTTCACAAGATCTATATGCAAGAACGACGTGTGAACAATGGCTTGCAGCGCGAGCCGCCCGAGTATCCCCTGGAGAGAATCAGGGCACCCGTGGCGCTGTTTTGGAGTCCGACGGACTGGATGGCACCGTCCCGAGACGTGCAAGGGCTCAGGAAACGGCTCCGGAGCGTGGTGCTCGACTACAAGATGCCGATCGACGACTTTGGACACCTGGACTTCCTCTTCGGGACTAACGTGACCAAAGTGCTCTACGCCAGAGTCGTCGCGCTATTCCAACACTACTTAAAAGGGATGCACGCAAACGAACGTCTAGAATAAAGAAAAAAAAAATAAAGAATAGCGCGCATTCCCAGTACAATCACGGCAATTTGGAAGTATTGTAATGTCTCGTATTTATGTGGATCGGGCGTCTACTGAATAGACACGCCAGAACGATCCACGGAACAACAATACACGGAAGGAGATTCAACTGTCGCGCCCCTAGTGGCTAAATTGAGAACTACACCGACGGGGACAACTAGAGCCATTAAATGAGTTACGCTTACAGTATCGGCAAGAGCTGTTCCCCGGTATTGTTGTGGGCGCCGCCATGTTGGTGCTTAGTGCGGAGGCGCAACTGCCGATCATCGTGATTCAAACGAGCCACTTCCTCAGCTTTAGATACGGTGCTAGGAAAGCTTATGTGATCTTGTTTTGCTCTGTCGCGAACTGTTTTAACATTTCTGAAGGTCAGAAAAGCGTCTCCTACAATTTCAGTCTTTATTTTTTCTTAATTTATTGCATACTGCGGACCTTTTAACGCTCCAAGCAGGAAAGGCAGTAAACACACACAAAAAAAGAACTGTAACACGGCACCAGAAAGAATAAGATAAAACTTGAGATAACTGGCAAGCATGATTTTCAGCAGTAAGATGATTGAATAGTGTCGTTGCCCTGAAGCGTAGCTTATTAAACAAATATGATGTGTTCGTGTATTGACGCAGCGCTTGACTTCGGACCTTGGCCCACGTAGCGTTTGACTGGGGGTTCGTGTTCAAGCAGTGAAGCCGAACTCGGACTCAGTTCAGTTCAGAAAGCGTTTCTTGGCCTTTGGGAAGGAAGGGAGGGGATCGGACCGGTAGCTTAGGAGTTTGGATGAAGGCCGGGGAAGGGGGGTTTTGGGGACTTATAGATAGATATGCGGTCAGCCCCGCCTTGTGGATAAACTCCGACTTACGGATTGTTGACTTGGTCTTTTCTACTGAGTGCGGGGACGAAATTGGGCACGAGTGGTGCCCAATCTTTGCCCCCCACTGAATCGAGAAGGACACAATCGAGTGCAATGCCTTGCCTTGGTAAACACGCAATTCTGGGGAAAACAAGCTGGACAAGCAAACAGCACGAGGGCTCGAGGTCCCTGCTTCGAAGCGTTCTTCCACAGAACGAGTCCTCGTGCAAGAAATGCACGTCTCAAAGCCAGGAGCGCGCGCTAGCTCACCAGTGGCGTACCAACTTGTTTTTGAATGGGGTGGCAAACTATACACCCCCCTTCTGCACCCTTCCTCCACCCCCCTTCCCCCCCCCCCCCCCCCCCACCCCCCCCCCCCCTCCGGGCCGGGCTGCGGTGTCCTTGGTATCCCTTGGGCGCCGCCGGGTCTGCCGCCGGCCAGTGTTTGTCCTCCCAGTGGCGGCCGGTTTCGGTGGGAAGGGGGGGGGGGGGCAAAACACATGCCTTGCCCCCCCCCCCCTCCCTCTGAGAATTGGGGGGGGGGGGCGAGCGCCCCTTGCCCCTCCGGTTGGTATGCCCATGACTTCGGCTCTAGTTTCAGATTTAGGGTGAACGGAAGATGTATTGAATGGAAAGCGCCGAATAAACAAGGACCAAGAAGGGGACAGAGACGAAGCGCACTCACAACTGAAGGTTTATTGAAAACAACATTGACTATTAATACCGTCTATCAGGGTGTTGGCTCAAAAAGAAAAACTCTTTATCAGTTAAGTGCAGTGACGGCGCACTAATACACAGACTCACCCCTTGCTCTCTTATGCGGAATGCCTCGTGTATTTCTCGCGCTGTTTTGTTTTCGTATCTGCCCAGAACTGTTGTTTTTTCCAAT